TAAGTGGGCTGTACAAATGGTTAACACAATTAGTTCTTAACCAAAAAGTTGGACATTGAAGTTCCCTCAGAGGTGCCTTGGAAGAAAGGTCTGGTAATCTACATGCAAAAAGTCAATGATTCAAAGATCCTATAGGGCCCAGTTTTATTCTGACACCCACATGGAATTTCCAGGAACAGTCCACAGCAATTGGTTTTTTAAGTCACTTCAATGCTCCTGAACCTGCATTCCTTCTTGTGTAGAGTGGGGGTGGTAACAGCTCCCACCCTGTGTTAGGAACCAGGTGTTAGGAAAATTATGAGATCATGCACACATAGCACAGTGCCCAGCTCGGAGGAAGTAATAAATGGTAACTCATGATCACCAGGAGTAGATCTAGCCAGGTGCACTATGTAAGAAATTTCTTCGGATCTCTCTATTTGAAGTGCCATTCCTTTGCAGAACAATTGTAGACTCTACTTATTTGAACTCTCTCCTAAGGGCAGAGGAAGAACTAGCAAGTTGGATTTCAAAATCTCTCCAAGTGTCTTCCTGACTCAGGAATCTGTCCCGCTTTGACCTCACCTGATGATTTGTAGTAAAAAGTTGCAAAAAAGCTAATTTAGTTCAGGTTCTGAAGGAGAGTTGCATATTTGGTGCCTCTTTAGAGCCAAGGTCCCTGGATGTTGTAAATAGTTTGCACCCAACTACTAAGTTAGGCTGTGGCCCCTCTGCAGCACCTCAGAAGAAAGACCTGGCAGCTGCTTTCATAAAGATCGTTGCTGTCGGTACTGTGGAATCTATTCAGCCAAGAAAACCCCATGAAGTATTTCTACTCTAACACATGAGGTTGTGAGTCTGAATCAACTCAATGGCAAGTTTTGGGTTCTTTAGATAGAATCCGTGGAGCCCTGGTGGTGTAGTGAGTAGCACGTTGGGCTGCTAACCACAAGGTCAGCAGTTCGAAACCACCTTGAGAGAAAGAGGAGGCTTTCTACTCCTGTCAAGAGTTACAGTCTCAAAATCTCACTCGGGCCACTCTGAGTTGGAATCAATTCAATGGCAGTGAGTGAGATATCACCCTAGGTCTCCAAAGCATGCTAGAGCCGGACTGATCTCAGCCAGAAATCTTCAAGCCCAACCGCCTTACTTATGAATGAAGAGAGTTGAGCTTGAGTCGGGAGCTTGTTCTGCCCAAGGCCACACGTGACTGGTGAAGGGCAGGCTCAGAATGAACACCAGATTCCCTAATCACACTACTGCCTCTCCTTACTTATAGATGTCCTTTTGCAGAAATCCCTGGCATTTGGCTTGGTTTATAACCAGATACCCTTGAGACACAGAGCTGGCTATGACGTACACAGGAGAAGCCGGGTTATTAGACTCAGCTTCTGGACCTGTGAAACTACCCTCTGGACTGGATGTGTTGTTGTCTTTTGGCAAGAACAGTGCAGGATAACCACACTGTCATTCCCGCTAGGAGACAGCTTCGTATGGGCTGAGGGGAGAAAAAGGGTCTGGGTGGGATCTATTGCTGTCTACAGTTTCTTTAGACTATAATTATGAGCCATTCAACTGCATCTGCAGCCCCAACAATGTGAGATGGATTGGCCTGATCCACGGACCAATTGACATTTTCAAATCCCCGAGTTTAGACATCACGTATCCCTTTTGCAGCAAACCAAATTCTGCTAAGACAGGAAAAGAAAAAAAAAAAGTCTGGAGCTGTCAGTCAGGCTACAGGCTACCCCCATAGCCCGGGTCCCTTTGCTTCCCTGCAGCCTACGAAGTGTGTTTTCTAGGACTGCCTTGCCCTCTGGGCTCTGGATAAGGTGGAATAGAGACTACCCTACAAGCCTTTGGGGGGTGATGCAATTTGGATTCAATTGAAGTCCTCCTAAATTGGCCTCTGGAGGAGGTAGTGGAGTGATGGCATTAGCACAGATGGTATAAGAACCAATGTGCTTTCATTACCTGGCAGAAACAGAGGACCAGTCCCCAATCAAGAAAAGTCATTCCCAGAAGAGCAGCATCCTGGCCCACTCCCCAGGCTGCAGGTGCCTGCGTCTGGGTGGAAGGCGATTTACCCGGCTTTTCTTTTGAGTTCCAAAGACAACTAATTCCAAAACAGATGTTCTCTGCGATTGTGGTTTGAATCTTAAACTAAGGTAATTTCGCTGTGGAATCTTCCCTCTCCCTGCCTCCCTCTATCATTTTGAAATGCCAAGTCAGTTGTCCCAAAGGACAAACACGAACACCCTAGAGATAAAGAAGCAGAGATGGATGGACAGTCAAGCAGAGGAAGCAGATAACACTGGAAGAAGTGATAGCCCTGGCAGGAAAAGGGACCTCGGCACAAGAGGAAGCAGGAGAAAGGGCTTCCTCTGAGGACAATGGAAGAGCTAGGGGATGAGGGGAAAGAGGGTGTTCCTGACATTCTGAGGACTTAAATCCCTAAGACTTAGCCAGTAACTTAGCCAGTATCTCCACAGAATTAAGGCCTGGTAACTTAGCCAGTATCTTCACAGAGCCAATTATACAATCCTGCACAGCCAAAGAGTCCCGGGACTGCAACAGGATAAGCCAATGGGAGATCCTCATGCTGGAAGAGCAGCAAACAGTAAAAGGTGGAAGGGATGTAAAAGGGTCTCCTGGGGTCACAAAGGGCAGGTCAAGCTGAAAATCTATGCAGACTCAGGGAGTCTTTCTCAGTCTTTTTCCCACATGGTTATTTGTTTATATGCGAAGAATTTCCCTCTCTCAGAAGCGTTCACCCTACCCCCACATGACATCTCCTTTCTGCCTGGCAACCTGAGCGCATCTCTAGTATATATTCCTATATGTATGTCCCTGAAGGCCAAGGAGCACTGGCGGCATAATGGTTACAAGGTGGGCTGCTAACCAAGAGGTTACGAGTGGCTGCTAACCAGGCACTCTGCAGGAGAAAGATGCGGCTTTCTACTTCTGTAAAGAGTTACAATCTGGGAAAGCCACAGAGGGATTTCTACCCTGTCTTACAGGCTCACTGTGACTCAGGAACGACTCGATGGCAGTGACTTTGGTCTGGTCCCTACAGGCCAGTTACCATTTGCTGGTCATTATTATAACCAACAATATTTAGCTCAAAATAGAATGAATTAACAACAACAACAAAAAGTAAGAGCTCAAAAAATTATATTGAACAATCTTATTGATAAACATAAAACTTCCTAAAACCCCAAAGACAGCCATCAGGAAGTAAAATCCAGATAGCAGTAATTTTATTAGGTTGCTATTGTTTTTTTGGCTAATGTGAGACTCAAAGTTGCCCAGACTTTAAGACTACAAAGCCAATGAAGTGACTCTTTTCTAATCACAAAGTTTTATAAAATTTTATTCTGTTCTTCCCATCTCCCTGCTCCCATCTCCATAAGGGAAAATGTTGTCTATAGTCAGCATATGCATTTTGTTTTTCATTTGAGTGTGTAATTAGTATAGTTACTTGTGAAAATGCCATTTGGTATGCCACAAAGCAAACACATTATTTATAGTCAATTGTAACATTTGACACAGTGCAATTCATAATTCTCAGACTGTTTCTCAGAAATACCTCCAAGAACTTATAAATTTCAAGTGTAATCTTTTATTTCACTGATTGTCATAAAGATAAAGATGCACAATGGCTATATACATTACGCAAGATACTGTAAAGGAAATATATGGAACGAACCTAATTGTTGCCAACTCTGTGACAAAGAACAGACTGTTAACGTATCATACAAGGAGCCCAGTGCCTGCTCAAAGTAACTTCCACCTTCTCAAATTCACCATCACTGGGCAGGTCTTCAGAAGCAATGCATTTTGAAGTATACCTTTTTGCCATGCAGGCATCCCCTATAACAGTGGTTCTCAACCTGTGGGTCATGACCCCTTGTGGGGGGTCTAACGACCTGTTCACAGGGGTCACCCAGTACATAAGAGTAGCAAAATTACAGTGATGAAGTAGCAACAAAAATAATTTCATGGTTGGGGGTCACCACAACATGAACTGTATTAAAGGGTTGCGGCATGAGGAAGGTTGAGAACCACTGCCCTACAATAAGAGGAGGATGGGTTGGGAGGGGGAGTTAAGAGTAGGAATGGAAGAGAGGTTGGGAATAGATCTTGAGTATAGATGGGTATGGGAAGGGCAGGGAGAGTCAACCAAGCTACAACTCTAGCAGGTCGAACAGAAGCATAAAGAAAGCCATGGTGTTGCTTTTGCTGGATGGATTGTGCCGGCCTTCTACTCACTACACTGAATATTTGGCTCTGGTACTGGATAACCAAGATGTAGCTGAAAAGTTGGCTGTTCTTAACTTCGAGATCCAAGGAAAGAATGGACTTGGTTAGGGTTTATCATTGCTGTGGAGATGTGAGAAATGATAAGCATATATCATTTTACATCACTTTCTCCAGATCTATATGATAGGGCCAAAAGAAACTAAATGGGTCACCTCACCACCTACCATTAGCCAATCTATCCAGCATTCCTTCATCGTGGTCACCGACAAATATCTCAGTCAAGGATGGAGCCCTATCTTTCCTTAAGGACTCTTCACTGAACAAATAACTGTGCCCTAATAACTGTGTCCTAATGAATCAATATTAACTTTACCTCTGCCAATGTTAAGTCTAACAGCAGAGGATTTGAAATGCACAACACTTTGTAAACACCTATTTCGTATCTCTTCTTTTATACACTCTTCTGGAAAAGTGTGTGTAGAATCTGCGTTTGATGGATATGCTAGATTAGAAATGAATAAAACAATCGTTGAGAATTGACTGAGCACCAAACATGCAATTGATATAAAGCTGCGAGATGGAAACCACGCCAAGAATCCCAGCTTCTCGGCTCATATTTAATTCTCTTTTCTTAAAGGGCCAAAACGTGAGGCAGTCTTTGTTCATTTACAGAAAGCCAGCTGTGCGCTCCCTTCACATCATGCATCATCACGTGGGAAGAAGCTGGAATGTAGTGGATGGTCCGGTGATGACGCCTGAGGTGGGGAGACCCCAGCTCACATCTCATCTGTCGGGGCTGGCTCCCGTACAAGAAAATGCATCTTCCTTCCTTTGAGTTGTAGATGGAGAGAGAAGGTAAACCTACATGTGTGGTGTGTAAGAAGTCACCATTCAAACAGCCAGGCCAGGGAAACGCTTGCAAGCCTTGTGGGGATGGAAGCTGATAGGTAATGACAGGTAACATGGAGAATTAAGAAAGTAGAAAATAGAGAAGTTGTTCCTTAATGGAAATGTATTTCATCAGATTGATCAGAAACATGTGTTTCCCCCAGAATGGGAAACCATCTTGAAAGAGTTCATCACCAAAAGGTCTTACGCGGAAGCATCATAAGGGACGCGCTGGGGAAGGAGAGCAGAGGCGGGGAAGTGTGGCTGGGAGAGCTGGCAACAGACCATGAGAAGAAAGAACAAGTCAGCTCTCTTGTGGCAGGTTCCCAGGAGAGAGCCCTTTCCAGGAATTAAAAATTCAAAATCATGTTGAGAATTTTTTAAAACTCACACATGCGATGGTCTTTTCTTTCAGGGAATTCCAGAGCACCGAGAGAGGCCAGATGGCTGGCCACAATCATTCAGCTTCACAAAAGGCCGGGCATCCACATCAAGATCCCACTTTTAGTGAGTTCATTCTTCTCTGGCAGAGGGGTTCTGTTTTGTTTTTGTTTTTTTCAGAGAGGATTTTTAAATGGAATAAATTGAGTTTGGGAAATAATGACACAATTCCAAATACATGCCCTTTGCGCTCAAATAGGCTACACAAAAGCCTAGCATTTCTTATCAAATGAACAATCAGGCTTGGGTCACCTGACTAAACCGAATACATTTAAATGCTAAAATAATTGGGGAGCCAATGTCACAGAGGTTGAGGATGCAAGTTGTGGCAAGCGAGAGTGGCAAGCTCTATTTTAGCTTAGCCCTTCTCCAGCCCTCAGCCCTCACAGCACTTAATTACTTCACCTGTAGAATGGAGTTAACAGTGCCCAGACCAGAGTTGAACAGACTATGAAATGCAGTAATGCAAAGTGCTTTGCAACATGCTTGATGCAGAATGGACATGCAATAATACTTAGCTACCAATATTGAATTAAAAAAAAAAAGACACCACAATGGTGTGCATAAGGAAACTTGCCCCCCCCCCCCCACACACACACACTGGAATACCATGCATCACTAAAAAGCAATGCTGAGCCACAAAGCACCTCATGGCACAGCTCGTTCCCATCTTTTATTTTCCTTGGCTAGCTCATTCTTTGGGATAGCAAAATTTTCAGCTTGACTTTTGCTGTGAACTAGAATCTCCAGCTATCTCTATTCTTGACAGGTTCCGTTATTTTCCTTAGAGAGTTCTGGAACTGGAATCCAGATGGATTTCACTTGTTGGTGTCTTGAGCGGTTACATAAAAACACTTTAGAGGAAGGTGTCTCCCAGCTTCCCCTGTAAGTCGCACCTCCACTGCTCTTGGTTTTGCCCTCTGGCAACACACACTTGGCTATTTAGGGAGTATCAGCTACACTCATTTGCATTCTGGCACTGCCAACCCCTGTCCCTTTGCCATGAAGGCTGTCAGCATGGGGTACACATAATCTCCTCATTACATGTCCACTCCATTTGGCAAGATCTATCCTTAGGATAGCAAAGTAATTGATTTTGGAGGGAGTGGGGGTATAGTTAGGTCACTGAACCTCATCTCCAAGCTGATCAAAGTGTAGTGTAGCCCTGCCTTTTCCAACAACCTAGCAAATAAATGATGGGGAAATCCTCCAATGTGCATAAGGCTAGATCATTCTTTCTCTCTCTCTAGTAACTCTGGGGAGATTTGGGCACTGATCCTGCATACACAGTACTGTTCTTGTTCCTTTTTTCTCTCTCTACAGAGCAGCCTTGAATAGCTCTGTCTAAAATTATAAGCAGGGGCAGCCCTAGGCTCCAAGAGATCAGAGCCCTCATGCTGGGCCGGAACAAAGACCCCGCTTTTCCCCAACAATTAGCCCTGCAAAAAGGACATCTATCTCCCTCTATTAAAACCACCACGTGCCTTCAAGTCAGACCATTGTGAAGCTAATTAAATAACACGCCTCTCTCCCCATGCAGGTCTCCTGATTAGCTGTCCTCTGTCCAAACCTCTGCAAAGGCCAATGTTCCCAGTCCCTGACATCCCCCATTACTAATTGCTAGCAATTGAAAAGTCATCCTGATCAATAGTGCCGCGCTTGTTTATGCATCACACACCATCATTACCAGTATTTCAGCTTCCAGCCATTTCTAACTTAGATGCATAGATAAAATGTGTGTTGTTATTATTTTTCAAACAAGTCATTTGAGAAAGGAAGTTTCCGTCAAGATGGGAAATCTGTGGTGGGGATGCACTCCCATTACAGTGGGAAAGTACTGCACCTGAGAACTGTTGGGAAGGACTTTCACAAAAGATGTGGCGTCCCAGAAGACAAAAGGGCCAGAAGCAGCCCTCCACTCTTTGTAAAAGTGCTCAGACCTCAGTGAAAGAAGGGCAAGGTGTCTTGGAAAGGTATAGCATAGAAGACAGTGGTTCTCATTCTTCCTAAATGCCGCAACCCTTTAATACAGTTCCTCATGTGGTAGTGACCCCCAACCATAAAATTATTTTCGTGGCTACTTCCTAACTGTCATTTTGCTACTGTTATGAATCTCGCCACCCCTATGAAAGGGTCACTCGGCCCCCAAAGGGGTCATGACCCACAGGTTGAGAACCACTGAGAGATCAGAAATAATAGAAAACATTTCGCCAACTTAAAAAAAATGCTGTAAAAATAATATACTATGCCTCAGATCAAATTCCTTCAAAGACTCTTTATTACCAATAAGATAAAATCCAAAGTTTGTAAGGCAGCTTAAAGTCCTTAAATGTCAAAAACTAGGGGTTTTCCATGGGTTCAGTTGGCTTGTTCCCAGTCAGAGATTTTGCCTCTTTTATCACAGATATACTGAATCTAAATCTACATTTTAACACCTCACCACATGATTCTTCCATATACATAAGAATTCAGATTCAGTATATCTAGGGTGGAAATGCAAAATATATCAGCAAGGGGCCAATCCAGAATAAACCAGCTCAAAGCTTTGGTGCTGGCCATTCAAATCCACCCAGGAGCTGGAGATCTACTTCCAAAAGAAAACTCAGTAACTCAAAACCCAGGGCCACCAAGTCAGTCTCTAGATCCTGACTCAGAGTGAGCCTGTAAGATGTAATAGGAGCCCTGGTGATGTAAAGGTTACCAGTTGTGCTGCGACCCACAGTTGGAAACCACCAGCAGCTCCACAGGAGAAAGAAGGGGTGATCTATTCTCAGAAAGAGTCACAGCCTTGGAAACTCACAGGGGCAGTTCTACCCTGTCCTACAGGGTCACGATGAGTCGGTATTAAATGGATGGCAGTGAGGGAGAGCAGAGTGGAACTGCTTTGTGGGTTTCCGAGACTCTCATTCTTTATAGGTGTAGACGGCCTCATCTTTCTGTCCCCCAAAGAAGACAGCCATTGTACATTCTTTACAGTTCTACTCTAGCACACCAGTCCACTCAACAGCAACTGGTTACATTTCTGTTGCATTTCACTTTCTTCCCACCGAAGCATCTTGTTCTCTAACATGCTGGACTGGGTGATGGTTTACACATTTGTGACTTTTTATGTGCCTTTCCATTGTCTCAACGTCCTGACGAACCTATCCCACATACCTGTTTAAATTCAACAGCAAGCATCACCTTCCCTGTGAAGGTTTTCTAGACCCACCCAGATAAACTCAGAGCACTGCCTCCTCTTCACTCTCACACAACACACCACCTTCAAGCCCGCACTTAGAGCCTTCTGGTGTAGCACTTACAACGCTCCTCAAATAATTCATTGCTGCTCAGGCAGGACCATATTTTATTCAAATTAGAAACCCCAGTTTACAACACAATGACTTCGACTTAGTAAATGCATAGTTGAAAGAATCTACTACTGAATAAATGAGTAAGTGAATGGAAAAGAATGAAGAAAATGAAAAACAGGATAGCTCTTCCCTAGAAAACGTTATCCAGGGTGGCAGAGTCAGATCTGCTTCCAGCTTCATTACAGATGGCGTTGTGTGCTTGGAAAAGGGACCCTTATTCTACAGCTTGGTTCTCTCCATTTAAAATGATCTCAGATCTCATACACTTGCACATACACACACTTTTCAGAAGCAATGTTTTTAAAATAATAAAAATGGCAGATGACTAGGCCAGCCATTTCCTAAACCTCCTTAATAATTCAGAACTTAACTTTTCAGACTAACATAGCTGAGGTTTCTAGTTCATTTACTCTTGAGAAGCCTTTCCTACAATGTGTGTTTGCAAAGTCTCACCGATCTTCTTGGACATCTGTACAGATGAGTGGTTGACTAAAACATAAAGTCATCCCAAATAGAATTTAAGTTTCCAATGAAATACTCTTGGGCTTCAAAATTAGCATTGGGGGGGGGGGGGCAGAGATGAAGTACTTGGCAAAACAGCTTTTGAGCACTGCAAAATCCCCCAAATTTGAAGCAGCCAAAGTCATTGAATGATTTCCATCCCTAAAACATAAAGCCTTGTAGCAAAAGTCACTGTCTGGTGATGATTGCATGCTTTAGATGTTGTTCATGATGTCATTTGGAGTGAGTTCTTTCCTAAGCATTTTGCCACCACAATGTCAACTTCAAACTGTTGTGTTTTCTCGGTAGTTAAAAGTATATAGACAGTGAAGTCATGGGACAAAGAGGCAGATTCCATGAGCACGCGACAATAAGCAATCCTATTTGCAGCAACCATGCCCTCCAATCTGAGACTAAGGGAGAAAACACTGCCGTTCATTTAGCAGTCACTATGTTCGGACAAGACCAACACAGATAAAATCATGCTAAAGTGGAATGCCTGCTTTATAATGGTTGTAATGGATTGGCTGTTGTTAAAATTATACTCTTGCTGGCAGTAAGCTCTTCATTATTCTTATCACAGTTGGCACCATTCTCAAATCCTCTTTAAGAAAGTCTAATTCAAGACCTTCAGAATATGTGGCAAATAGACCAGTAAATAAAAATAGAGATGTATTTTATATAGACTTGATTCCCCAATATGATGCTTAGCATAAATCAAAGTAGCCATTAATACATAAACTAATACTGTTTAATTTTTCAAGGGCAAAGCAAACTACATAGTAGAAATAAACCATTAACATAAAGATAAACAAAGAACATAAGAGAAAAAGAAGAATCATCAGACATGACTGAAAGTGTGAATGCCACAGAATAGAAAAATCACATGAATGCATAAAATAAGAAATACGTCTTGGAAGAATAAGCTGAGGTGCCCTCATGGCACTGTGAGGTAAGCATTGCACTGTTAACTGCAAGCGGGTGGCTCAAACCTCCCACCCTCTCCTCTAGATAAACATGTTGGGCTGCTAATTGCAAGGTCAGCAGTTCAAAACCAGCAGCCAGTTCCATAGGAAAAAGACGAGGCTTTCTACTCTTGTAAAGAGTTATAGTCTCAGAAACTCACAGGGGCAGGTCTACCCTGTCCTATAGGGTGGCTATAAGTCAGAATTCATTCAACAATGGTGAATTTGATTTCTATCTGCTCCTGTAAAGATTTACAGTCTCAGAAACCCGAAATACAGTTGCTATGAATCAGATTTGGGTGTTGTTTTGGCTAACTGCCAGGCCAACTATTCCAAACCAC